GTGTTGTGCCCGCACCTCGCTCAGCCAGTGAGTGGGAACCGGTCTGTATGTGGGATCTGAACCCTCGGCGGGAGCGCCACCGCTCTCCCAAGCGGCGCACTGTAGCAGTGCACCACTGGGCCGGCCCTAAAAACATATCTTTAGAACTGAGATAAGTGATGACCTCAAGGCTGTAAGGTTTGGATGTACCTTCAAAATCAAAAAAGGGAAAATTTCAAATTGTGTTCAGTATAATTTAATGAAAAGTATAGTTTTTTATGATGTGTTGAAATTTTGTAAGGTGCTTCCTTCATGTAGGATATATTCTAATGTTTCAAGAATCCCCTACTAAGTAACTTCATGAGATTTGATTTATTGTAAGCATGTTGAAGATTAATTTAGCAACTTTCACAGATGATTTTGGTATATATTGAGTTTTTCTTCTTGCCCTAGCCACCAGGATGCTCGGAGCTAAGTTTTTAACTCAGTTGCAGCAAATCACTGGCTTAAGCTAAGTCTTCTGCTAGAGTCATCACTTCCATTTCACCACCTTTATTTCTTAATTCTTGTCCCTTAGATTTGTGCCACTACTATTCTTTTTTGGAAGTAGACAGAGCCTAATTAATAAATAAAATAGATGTAAAATAGATGTAATAATGAGTTGATCCTACAATAAGGAAAAAAATAAGTACTTTATATGTTGGTTACAGTTTGTTTATTCACCCACAGATTGATCTTCAGACATTCCTCACTCTCACAGATCAGGATCTGAAGGAGCTGGGAATAACTACTTTTGGTGCCAGGAGGAAAATGCTGCTTGCAATCTCAGGTGAATATAAATGTTCAACTCATATTTTAAAATCTGAATAACCTCTGCCAGTGGTCTCAGCTGGTGGGGCTGCTTCTGCCCATCAGTTGCTTGCTTTACTTCTCTGACACCTCGGTGGTTGTGGTTTCAGAGGGTTCTGCCAACAGTGTGACAAATGCTGAGAATATCTTACTCCTTCATCAAGGCATTGCTTGAAAACTTGCCTTGGCAATGTTGTTCCTTAGAACAGACCTCTTCAGAAAGATCTAACCAAAATTGCCCTACGCAGATCAGTAGAAGGGGGGACCAGTTTAATTCTCCTTTCTGCATTGTGTTAAGTAGTAATCATTGGGTTAGTGAATAATTTTTCTTGATTGGGTGTCATGTTTCAAATGTGTGTGTCCTTGCACACCAACTGAGATCATTGCACTGAGAAAAAGAATGCTCATTGGTGTAGCTTGGAACCTGGCTGTATTACTTGTCTTAATGCTTTTTAATGTTTAAAAAAGTTTTAATAGAACTTTTGAGTCACAGAAGGATGTAGTATCCTGAAGGTAGTCACAGAATGAAGGAAATAATGTTGCCTGCCTCCCTAGAATGCTTTCTCTGTGCATCTGTTGCATATTCTATGTATTAGGAAACGCTCTATACATATTTATGGGGTGCCACTCATTTGAAAAGAATTGAGCCAGATGATGAGTCAGGAGTTGGCAAATACATAGTAATGTACCTCAGAAAGTTGTTTCAAGAAAAATGAGGAAGAAATTGGGATGGAGGGTGGGGTTGAACGAGATTAGTTTTTGAAGACTTTAAAGTTTTTGAATGTCAAATTTGTGCCAGTCTCAAAAAAATGGACACCAAGGGCGGAAACCAGGTGTCATGTGCTGCGAGAAAATGACTGCTTTCTCAGAACACTGAATTTGCAGGCTAAACCTGTGTTAGGCCAGCAGTCTCATCCAGCTGGTAAAAGTCCCTTCCAGACAGTATTGACTTATCAGATCATGAGAAAATGACTGCTTTCTCAGAACACTGAATTTGCAGGCTAAACCTGTGTGAGGCCAGCAGTCTCATCCAGCTGGTAAAAGTCCCTTCCAGACAGTATTGACTTATCAGATCAGCAAAGAAGATCTAAAACCTTAGGGCTTCATAATTTCAGCAAAAAATTACATAGCCCAACCACCTCCCCCTAGGAAATCTTTGTATGAAGCAGATAAAGGCAGTGCACCTTCGAAATAGGAGTGGAATCCGGCCATCAAGCTTCCTGATTATATCCTGTTAGGCTCCCGCATGGATAAGTAGAGTTCTACACACATCAGTTTTTAGAAGTCTTCCTCCACCCTGTGTGCCCAAGAGGCTTCATTAGTGGAGCTCCCTGGGGCAGATGCACAGTTGCTATTTGCTCATAAGATCCTCTCGGTATAGCAGTTAGAACACTGGATTCAAAAAGGAGACCCGGGCTTTGCCTCTGCCAAGTCATGAGTCTTTGGGTGAGTTTCCAAACCTTTTTTGGTTTTGCTTTATTAACCACAAAGATAGACTGGAATAGATAATTATGTAAGGTCCCCTAGATCTGTCATTTCATGTGATGTCTCTCCAGGCTCAGTTTTAACAGTGTGTATTACTAGGACTATATTCCTTTGTTCTTTCTTTTTTACCATCTGTGGCAATAGGATAGTTTTTTCAACTTGTTTACCCTAAAGTTCAGCCTCAGATGGCTATTTGTAGACTCAAGTTAATGTTATATATTTTTACATTCTTTTATTAATTTGCCAATGAAATTGATATACAGTACTACTTTTGATTAACTCTCATATTCCCCCCACACACCTGTGCAGTTGAAACATGCCTGTGGGCTAGCACTTTTATACTAGAGAAGGAGATACTCCAGAACTCCATAATCTTTCTCTAGAGATTTGTGCAATGGCAGTGAAAGTATAATAAAAACTAAATTCTTTCCTTGGGCACCAACCCTATTCCAACTCTGCAAAGTTTTCAGCAACAAGCAGATATGTCTTAATACTTTCCTAGGTTGCAGGTGGACCATTAATACCCTTACTATGGAAAGTATCAGTATACTTTGGGTTTTGGAGAGTAGAATGGGAACTACAAGATGTTTTGAATCCTCTTTTTAAAAAAATTTTTTTCAGTCGTCTTCAGTGTAGTTCTGTTGAGATTATATACTGTTTCTGTAGACTGTCTCTCTCAGTGGGGTTCACAAGTCCTCTTGCTTTTAATAGGAATTAGACTTTGAATAAGATGCCTTATGAATGCTCTGCACAGTGTGAAGTATTTGATTACTTCGAGGATGAGTTTGTCTTACTTTGTTGAGTGCATTTGTTTGAACCTGGTAAATCATTTTCTCTGCAAGTTATAAGGTTTTATTGAGAAACCCTTCATCAAAAAGCTTCTTTTTCCAATTCAAATTATCTGATAACAAAGACATCCATTGATAGTCTCAGAACATTCCATTTCCAGATAGATGCAAAAGACTTGGGCAACCTTGACTCATGTTTGTTTTGTGGATACAGAGTGTGGTTAGATAGATACAGAGTTTGCTCAAAATTCCTTTTTAAAATTTTGTAGATTTTTAGCTTATTATTGGACTTGTTCTTTCAGTGTGTAGTTTTGTTTTGTTTTTAATCTTGGGCCAGAAGACATTTTAATGGTATAGGAGGAGACGAAAGTTATCTCTAGTAGGGATGGTCAAAGAATAAATTTGATTTTTTTCCCCCAAACCTATGATTTTTTGAAAATTCACAAATTTCTGTCAGAGTATGTTAGTGATTGGTTAATACAGAGACTCAGTGAAAGGAAGTTTACCATCCTGTTGACAGGATTCCCTCCACAGCCTCAGGTAGATCTAACATTTCCCGACCTATTCTTTTAGTTTGTGACTCTGTTCAGATCCGCAACAAGATCCTGAGAGCTGCCAGGATTGTGTGAACCTTGGAATTTCAAAGAAAAAGGTTGGTATTTTCCCAAACAGTCCCTTAGGCTTACTGGAAAAAAAAAAAAAAAAAATCAGAGCAAGGAGTTTGCTTTTTAATTTAAAAACAGCAACAAATGGTCCCTTAGGCTTACTGGAAAAAAAAAAAAAAAAAAAAAATCAGAGCAAGGAGTTTGCTTTTTAATTTAAAAACAGCAACAAATACCCTAAAGTCTCTTCGGTAGGACTTGATCCGTAGATGTGTATATGTGTGTGTAGTTTCTTAGAAACTACATCTTTAAAGAATGACAATTCTCTTATGATCATTTTACTCTTTCAAAGATCTAGCTAATGTGACTTTTCAGAACAAAGCTTTCAATGTTTATTAAAAAGTTGTCTTCAGTGGCCCAGTTGTTTTTATGTGTTAGTTATACATGTTATATGTGCTAGAGGAGAATGTCGTTTGGCTTCATTCCTTCCTTTTCCTTCTCTATAATATGGGGATGTCCTTCTAACGTGTAGGTTATTCTAACTGGAGAAAATGGAGGCCAAATATAGTCTAGCTTGAGGGTGATAAAACTTTGCAAGGCTGTGTTCTTAAGAGGATTCATTTATTCTTAAATCTTCTATAAGTTTGCCTTTAAATATGTGCAATTCTGTTTTGATTTCTGAATTTTGAAGTGCTGTTTTTGTTTTCTTAGCAAGATACATGTGTTCAACTTTTAATAGGAACGTGATTGCTACCGTGTTTCTGCAGGAACTTGAAACAATAGCCATGTGTATGCATGCTTGCACGAAAGTTTCTTTTGCTTATAAAGTTACCTTCCTTGCTTCTTCAGAGTTTTTAAGCTATGTTTTTCTATTTAAAAAGTAAGTCTGGTGGGCCGGCCCGGTGGCGCACTGCTACAGTGCGCCGCTTGGGAAGCGCGGCGGCGCTC